AAGCCTTTAAACGACAAAGACTGAGATGAGCATAAAAGTGAAGGAGTGTACATCATGTAGCAGACATACGTAGACAGCTTAAGATTTACTCATGTTTGAACTCTACGGTGGAGAGCCATCTACGCAGGAAGTCGCATTTTGCGCTGGTTATCATCCCAATCCACTTATACATAGTTGTTTATTTTTCCATAGAGTAAGCTTTAAGTGTTATGATTAGATGGAATAGGTCAAACGCTGAAAATCAACCCTAGTCTTTCGTTATTAAGACCTACTCCATCTACGTTCTTCAATGAGGGTTAATGAAATCGAGATACTTCATGCATTAAGATAGGATCTTTGTTCCTCGAAATACAAATTAGGAAACGGCTAAAATAATGTTTTTCTGGACAATATAATTTGCTCTGTAAAGATAAAATTGAAAGGATGAATAAATTGTCGTCGTCCATTGAAATGTGATAATATCATACCTAGCGATGTCCACAATATCATGACGAAGGAAGCCTTTTCTGACAATATTCGATAAAATTAAAAACTGGGCAGGAAGTTACTTAGGAAAAAACCAAACCGAAAAATCAGAAGCAGATGTTTAAAAGGACTATGGGATGCGTTCAGTCAAGCCGTATGGTTGTCATTCAAATAAAGAACACCAGCGCTTATCATACACTCGCTGTACGCCTAGCGCTTGAAATGGTAATCTCACTTCTTCACCTGCACTACGAGGCCTCCAGTTGTGATATCCCCCTGTCGGCCCTGAAGATTTCAATCATAGATTACATATTTCCCAGTAATAACTGTGCCTTTTTAATCCTATGCGTTGCTAGACAACAAGGCAACAGTGTTTTCGTGTATAGCACTTCTTTCTCCGAATAGAAATAGAGGCGAAGTTTCGAGTTCTAGGTGTGGGCATGGGCGAAGAAGAAGAAGAAGAAGAAGAAGAAGAAGAAGAAGAAAAAGAAAAAGACTGGCCGAGAGCCGGAACAGTTTGTTTATTTTTTTAAGCATCCAAACTCGTGATGATGTCCATTGTCGGAAACAATAGCAGCGGCAAGACAGGCCACATTTATAGGATGTATAGCTAGTCAACAGCCAGCGTCGCAGGTCTGGAGGTGACTGCGTAGGGCTCCGTATGCCGGAGCTAAACCAATACGCCGATTGACTGAGTTCTTGCCTAGGGTCCAGGTTCCAAGCAATTCTCGGCTTATCTTGTTTCCAGCATGGAGGAGAACCATGGCGGCTACAAAGTTGAATTGTAAAATATGGACAGCCACTTGTGGTGACTTGTCATCCCGCCACATGGCTAGCTCATATTTGTGTAACGCGATCCGAACATGTGTCTAGTCTGGCATGTGTAGTTACACGGACAGTTTACGCACGGAATACGATACACTATCCAAGGCTGTTCCCCGAAATTCGATCAGTCCCTAATTTCCATGACTTTGCTGAGCACCAAAAATATGGGCCTGCGTGCAATTCAAATACCTAGTCTCGCAACCATTCGGTCGCTTATTACTCGAACGTCTCCAATGTGTGCTAGAGGATGTCATATGCTCGGTGAGTTTTCGTTTGAGTCCTCTGGGAGCGAACCCGTAGGTATCATCTTACAAACGTCCTTAGATAGTCATTTTGCATAAATTGATCGCGGAGATATCGAGCCTCGTGTATTTTTTTCCTTCCAGTTTACTGCAGCGAATCTGGACCCGTTTGAAGAATTCTCTCACACAGCTTCACTTGTGAGCCACCTGATAGTTGCCGTGAAACCCTAGAAGCAGCATTATGTTTGTCACCATCCTGTAGACCGTTGCTTCTATTTCACCACTAAGAATTTGCCTAACGAACACATCAAGGATGGACAACTACTGCTTTCCTTCTTCCTCGCTTGGGAATTGCGTATCTGGGAAGATTGCGTTGAACCGATTACGCAACTTCTGCAGCACATTTTTCCTGATGGTAGCAAATGCGTTGTCAAAGAAACGGCACCAAATGACGGTCTCCTATCGAATGAAGGTAATCTTCCTTAGCTCCTGTTGAACCGGTTTTTTCATTAAGCCAGAGATTTGGGAGCAAAGGTGAAGTTTTCTGACCAAATTCGAACAGCCACATGTGATGTCCAATTCTGGACTGGCTATGAGTTTCGTCATATACCACCCTCAATTTCTTACGACAGACTTCATGAGCCAAATTTGGTGGGATATCTGTGAAAAAAGGTGCCACCTCGAAAGAGGCCATGAGTTAAATGGATAATTCCATGCGTGTGGTTTTCCGATTGCCCGCTGCCTTTAGAACTTGATCATACTGGATCAGACTCGGAGTTTAAAATACACGAGTGTATTTGATAGAGCTAACTTGGTTGTGCGAAAAATAAACCGAAAGCGTTTTGGGGCAATAAATACACCCCAAACATCACAAACATCTGGTGAAGCCGCATTTAGCTGAAGATTCAAGGCAGCATGGTGAGTGATTCATTCTTTACAGCAAACTGAACTGATGCCTCAGACAACACTATCCGCTGGAGAGGCCAGTGCGTGTGCTGATGGTGTGAAGAATGACCTGAAAACGTGTGTGTGTGTGTGAGAGAGAGAGAGAGAGAGAGAGAGAGAGAGAGAGAATGTGCATAATAGTGCTAACATTTTCTAAGTTAACAAGGCCGAATTCAAGACCCTTGTAACCTAGTCCGCATGCAGCGAGGTACGTGAGGTATCGGTGGCTGTGACTGACTGAACGTGAGTACGCCCGTGTCACAGTAAAATCTGGACAATCGGTTGAACCGAAAAGTTAGCGCGTCTGAGAGCGCTCGATAGGAGAGCTGATAACATTTAAGAATAAAGGGCGATGAACAGTAACGGTGAGCAGCGCAGAGGTGACGCTGAAGTACAAACTGCACTGGAAATGTACTTACCGAAGACTGTTTGGTAGAACTGACTTATAGTTTATCTACCCCCTTCCCAGAAAAGGTTACTTGCTGTGCTGAGCCAAAAAGGAGTCAGCATTCTCACATGATATGCGTCGATCGAGCTGTGACTCCCTAATTTTGACCGTATAGGTGTTCGACACACGAAGACGGAGCCTCAGGCGCCACCCCAGGTTTTGGGCTCGTCCTCATTTTCGGTCGGTTGATCTGCTCGGGTGTTTAGGTATGCAGTTACTGTTTTTGTAACATACCAGGATATTTCAAGACAAACGTAAGCTATAGAATGATGAGTTCATAAACCACAAGATGCCAGATCACCGGTTGCTAAGACGAAAACGGGTTTTACAATTCATAAGTGAAGAAGAATTCAATAAAATTCATTATTTTCCTACTCCCACTAAAAGTCGATTCAATGTAAGGAGCCCAGGAAAGATAATGTAGCGAGTATGAGCAAGATATCGGTGAACGACATTTAATTTACAAGAATTTCAAGTGATACAATGGCGCAGAGCTGACGCGGATCAAAGCCTTCCGCATTATAGGTGCAGGGGTGTAGAGGTGTCCAGTTGTAGGTTCACGTGATGATTGTAGTAGGTCGCTTCACTTACTTGCAGGTGTTGATTACGCCTTGCGTCCATTAACCGGCGCCCAGCTCTCACATGTGACTCCTCGAAGCTAGGCCCTGCCGAGCGGCCACACTGGTAACCGCCTCGACCGGCGGACTAAGCTAGGTCAAGGCTTTCCTGCTTTCCACACTTCCGGTAAATCTGCCTACCTTACTATCCCTACTTCCTCCCTCCACACCACTTCCCCCATTCTCACCTCCCCCCACAAGCGGTATGACTAGCTCCTACCCACAACCCTCCCCCCATCTCCCCTTCTCGCTCCTCGTCCCCTTCCCCCTCTCCATCCCCCAACTCTACTCTCTACTCCCTTCCCCACGGTCAAAAAGACCTACGGCGAAGGCGACATGTAACCTCGTTGGCGGCCAGGGCCAATCGGACCGCAGCCTTGTCGAAAGTCGGGTGGTCGACAAGATAAAGATTCCCAATCAAAAGTCAGGGAAGACGGTTTGAGTTGGACAACCTTTACTGCCTGAGGAAGTACGTACACAAGGACTCTGTAGGCAGTCGCCGCGAGCGCGCTCCAAACAAGCCGTTGTCTGTGTCCGCCTTCGAGGTGTTGTGTGCGCGTGTGTGCGCCCTTCGTTGTCTCCACGTCCGCCAGCCAATCAGAGTGGGGACAACGTTGATTGGCTTCGAGCACTCGCGCGTCCCAGGAGCGTATCGACACGAAGTGTGAGGCGGACAGGAGGGCAGCGTGACAAAGGCGGAGAGCGAGGAGACTCGAACTGCCACAGCCCCACTAAACCAATACGTTCAGCGTACTTCTGGTGCGAATCAGCACACCTATTTAGGGACAGCCCCGCAGTCTTCGTCAGGGGAAGGGAACTAGAAAAGAAGCCATAAACAACGTTTGGTTCACGACATCTGCGCGCATGCCGTCGATCACAGATAGCTAAGCATGCGATCGAAACAATCAAACAGGAAAAAATACTCTCTCTCTCTCTTTCCGGCCCACCGCCCCCGCTGCCCCCATCGCCAGACTGGTAGGGTGAGTCCGCTCACAATGGCCTGCTCCTTATAAGAACCTGCGCAGAATACTGACTCATCCTGACGACCATCTTCCTCCGCTTCCCGATGCGAGAGAAGGCCACCTGGATACACCCTCGATCGCGACACTGGCACCTGATGGACTAGGTCCACGCCCGGAGGCGGGACCAGCGGGACGTGCTGGTGACAATGGCGATTTCGGGTGTTGACGGGTGGACCGACCATCGCCTCGTCATCTCCGAGATGAGGGTTCGTGTACAGTCTCGCAGGAGACTCCAAGGTATGCGACCGCCAGATGAACTGAATACTAGTTTGTTGTCTTTGCCTGATCACCATCTCCATCTCAGTAATGAGCTAGCTCAGCGGCTAGTCAACCTCCTAGACGCCGCCACCGTTGACGAGAACGCCTCTGTCGAGAACCGATGACGTCGACTTCGGGATACAGTCCAGTTGACAACCCTGGCTGTCCTCGGTCACGCATGATGCCAACACCAGGACTGGTCGACGGCAATGACGCCGCCATCAGCAACCTGCTTGCCGACAAGAACCGACTGCACAAAGCTTACGTCACCCGCCCCACCGACGACAACAAAGCTGCCTTCTGCCACAGTCGTCGCCTAGTGCAACAGCGACTGCGGGAGATGCAGGACACCTGGACGGCTCGCAAGGTCGAGGAGATCCAAGGGTACGAGGACAGTAACGAATGGAAGAGCTTCTTCTCCGCGATCAAGGCTGTCTAGGGTCCGCCAACAAAATGTATTTTACCTCTTCTCAGCGCCGACGGCAAGACCCTACTCACTGAGAAGACAAAAATTCTGCAACGATGGGCCGAGCACTTCAGAGGCGTCCTCAATCGTCACTCCATAATCTCCGATGTCGCTATCGCCTTTCTGCATCAAATGGAGGCCGACGCCGATCTCAACCTACCGCCCTCTCTCCACCAAACCATCAGGGCCGTGCATAAGCTCTCTAGCGAGAAAGCGCCCGGATCAGACCGGATCCCTGCTGTGATCTACAAGCACGGTGGCGACTAACTCATGGATTATCTGACAGCGCTCCCACAGGAGACATGGCGTCAAGGAGAAGTCCCGCAGGATCCGAAGGACATCGAGGCATCTTCTTGCTGAATATCGCCGGGAAAATCTTTGCTTGCATTCTCCACGACCGCCTAAATAATTACCTAGAATAGGGTCTTCTGCCGGAGAGCCAGTGCGGCTTCCGCCGTCATTGCGGGACCACGGACATGATCTTCGTCGCCCGTCAACTTCAGGAGAAGTGTCAGGAGATGCGGACCCACCTCTACTCTACCTTCGTGGATCTGACGGAAGTCTTCGACACATTGAATTACGAAGGACTGTGGAAAATCGTGCAGAAATTCGGCTGTCCAGAAAGATTTACTTAGATGGTACGTCAACTCCACCAGAACATGATGGCAAGAGTCACGGACCATAGATCTGTCTCAGAGGCAGTCGCAGTGACCAACAGAATGAAGCAGGGCTGCGTCCTCGCGCCTACCCTCTTCACTCTCATATTCTCTGTCATGCTGATGGACACCTACCATGATGAACGCCCCGGGATCCGCATCGCCTACAGTACGGATGGTCAACTGCTCAACCACGGGAGGATGCACTTTCAATCGCGTGTCTCCACAACCACCGTCCGCGAACTTCTGTTTGTCGATGACTGCGCCCTCAATGCAACTGCATGCAAAGGAGCATGGATCTCTTCTCTGCCGCCTCCGACAACTTCAGTATGGTCATCAACACGGAGAAGACAGTGGTAATGCACCAACCCCCATCCAACACTACCTATAATGCGCCGCAATTCTGTAAGTCATTGACCACTTCACGTACCTAAGCACCAACCTCTCCGCAACACTAGCATCAACGACGAAGTGGCCCGCCGAATTTGCAAGGCCAGTGAAGCCTTCGGTCATCCTCAAAACAATGTTTGGGATCGTCACGGTCTCTACCTCAGCACGAAACTGAAGATGTACAAGGCCGTCATTCTACTGACGTTGCCGTACGGAGCAGAGACGTAGAGGGTGTACATGAAGCAGGCACGCAGACTCGATCACTACCACCTCAGTTGTCTTCGCCTAATACTGAAGCTGAGGTGGCAGGACCAGATCCCAGACACGGATGGACTGCAGCGGACGGGAATCCTAAGCATCTACGCCATGCCCAGGCAACCGCAACTACGCTGGAGCGGCCACCTCTTACAGATGAACGACGAGAGGCTCCCCAAGCGACTCTTCAATTGAGGTGTCGCCACGGGTTCCCGCCGCCAAGGGGGCCCAATCCGTCGATACAAGGGCACTCTAAAGGCCTCCATGAAGCGTCTGTAGAACAATCCGGCCAACAGCGAGGACCTCGCTCGAGGCCGACCTACCCGGAGGAGGACAGTGACGACGGGCGCAACGATCTAGGTAGTCAAGCGAGAAGCACGCAAATCTCAGCTGTGCCCACTTCCCAGCGCCAATGCCCAACCACTCCCGACGGTTCCACGGTGTCAGCGGATATTTCGGACGCCAATCGGACTTGCTGTACAACTTTGGACCAACTGCAGCACTCGGACTGCACCAACCGTCGTCTATCCGTCCACCTTTCCCTCGACGCCCATGCCGTCAAATAACTCTGACGGCCCTCCTGAACCACAACTTCCATCCTACTCCTCTCTTCTTCTTCCTCCTCCCCCTCCCCCTCCCCCACTGCCTCCACGTCTGCCGTTGGGGCATCTGATGCGCACATCAACATTAAACACAATCCTGACACACCAAAAAACACTAACATAACCATGGTCGACACAAATTGTGGTGGGGACCTGGTCTACACCTGTCCTTATTGCAACCGCACCCTCACCTCACACATCGGTCTGGTCGGTCACTTACGAATCCATTGCACAGAGACTGGAGAACCAGCGTTTGGAGCGCCAACCTACACTAGGCGCACTCGCCTTCACTGTCCACACTGCCCGCTCACATTCATACACTGCATTGGCTTATTCGGACACATGTGTGTTCACGAAAACCTGCGGTAGACAACCACAGTCTGAGCCACACCATCGCATCCTCCCTTACCAGCATCTCATCGCACATCAGCATCACCCTCCACAACCACCCAAATTCCACCTCATGCGCAAGTGGGAAGTGTGCGTCTTGATTCCGTATCCGTGCGACTCCCTAGCTGTATGCGTGACTCGAGACTGAGACTATTATGGCACGTCAAGCGCCGGAGCTTGGAAGGCTGCTGATTGACGCCTCAACTCAGTTCATGCAGTCCGTCAAGTTGTGTGTGTGTGTGTGTGTGTTTGTGTGTATAGTGGCGGACTGGTGGGCTGAGAGCCAGGCTGAGACAGCTCCTTCTAAACGTAACCTCAGCACTCTCACGCATGTGAGGTGTACGCTGCTAAACCACCGTTGTGCGAAATCCTGGTGCTTTTGTATTGGGGGTTAGGTCGGGCGTGTGGCACGCGCAGACAAGGTCACTTAATATGTTAACCACCGCGACCATTCCCCACATCAGTCAACTGACCGGCTCGGACATTGGCTGGGGCCTGGGAATAGGAAGGGAGAGCGAGGCCGACGACTCAGCACACTTTCTTTACTATAAGCAATCTGACGCGCTTGAAGCTATCACGGTGCGCAAAGAGTCGTGGCTTGGAAGGTTGCCAACTGACGGAATAAATTGGACCTCGCAGTCGGCCTAGTATTGTGTGTTTGGGTGGAGTGGTCGGTTGGTAGTTCAAGAGTCAGGCTGCAATGGTTCCTTCTTAATGTGGCCTTATAACAATCCCACTCCGAGCCGGGTGTGGTGGCACGCCTAGGTGCGGGTCCGGTCGTGCCAGCCACCTGAGCTCTCCCCCCGCCTCCGGTCTTCTTGACTCTGCCTTTCTAGGTCAAAAGGTCTGAAAGTGTGTTCTATGCCAGTATCACCTAACCGCGTTCCTCGCAGCCTGGTATGTGCTGGCAGTTGCCTGGTACCTGGTCCCCTGCTGGTAGATGCGCTTACGTCCCCGATGGGTATACAGGTGGTGGTCATGGCTGCTCAGTCATCCTCGTTCTTCTGACTCCTGTTGGGGTGTTGTTGTTGTTGTTGGTGAAAAGTCCTGGTTAGGCGTATGTTGT